TGAAAATACTAATTTTTGAATATGCATTCGACAAAACCAATTCTTGAATATATATTTGAGAAAACCAATTCTTGAATATATATTTGAGAAAACTATTTAAGGATTTGTGAGTTCTTCTGATAAGATGTTGTAAAATGAAGCAAGTTTCTTGAATACGTATTCAAAAAGTCCAATTCTCGGCCATGTATTAGAGAAAGCTATTCAAAAAAAAAAAGTTTAACAAAACATAGAAAACTTCTCAAATATATATTCGAGAAGATTAATTCTCAAATACATAATAGGAAAAACTAATCAACGAAGATTCCTACACCATAGTTTTGGTTTTGCCAGAAATTATAAATCTAGAAAATGAATTTATCATAATCAAAACATAAATTTTAGTAGATTTTGTTTTTGCAAATGATAGTGAAGAGTATTATTATGAAGGTAAGGATAATAGTGATGAAGAAGAATATTTTGTTGAGAGTTGTTATACTAGCAATGAAGAATATTTTGTTTGTATTGCAAAAATATTTGTTGTCATGGCCATGCTAGTTTTTGGTTATTGGTCATAAGAATATTGGTATTTCCAATGTAAGTGTTGATATTGATACTATGTTCATATGATGATGTGAAAATTAGATGGCGTTGTGGCAATGCTAGTATTTTGTTAATAGCTATAACAACATTGTTACCATTTGACAGTCGTTAATAGTTATATATTGATAACAATGTTAATGTGTAACATGTTATTAATCTCTACTTTAGTCATTTTACATTCAAACTTGTTATTATCAGATGAATTATAAAAATAATATCATTGTTATACTAAAATTTTTTTTATTAATATTCTCAACTTTAAACTTGTGTTTTAACCATCAAGAATTATTATTCCATCTAAATTGTATTCTTTGTGTGAAAAAAAGGGAAAAATCAGTGATGAAAACGTCCAGTGGAGGGTATTTTTATCGGCTCAAAATTTTTTAATTTCAATCAAGGATATCGTTTCCTTCTAATTACCAAAATTTGTTGTCCTTAATTATAATTAATGTTGTTCGAAGACATTTAAATATCATTACCTCTAATTTTAATTATAAGATCTTGTTTGTAAACTATAAATTCCGGAAATAGTATTTGATTATGGTGCAAACCTAAAAGGCCGAGAAGGACTTAAAAATGCCCAACCCAAGAGGTGGATTTAGCACAAGGGAGTCCAATGGCAAGAGGGAGGCGTTTTATCTTAAAAGAATCTAATTGGAGTATATTTCAATGGATTACAGGCCCACGGCAATTATGAACACATGGAAGGAGAAACTTGGGCCTGAGTCTTCATTGATTGGGCCGAACTTCATGCTGTAATGAGCTGACGGGTTGAGAATGTGATGCTCGCAAAATTGTTCCATAGGTGTAGTCTAAGTAGGAAGCCCAAATTCAAGATTTCTTGCAAGAAACTTCAGGCACAGGGAATGATAATTCACATATTTAAGATTTAAACTATCAATGGTCATTGAGTTTAGTAGAATAGGTTATTCTCCTATAACATAGTGAACTGAGATTCATATCCCTGATGGGAGATGTGTCCAAATTTAATATCTGACGGTACTTCAATCAGGATTGCATTAAATAGGAGGATATTTGTGCATAACAAAAAAGAAAAAAAGAAAGGAGAATTAATAAGCTTAGTGAAAAGTCTTGATTAATGTCATATTTAAGGGGTGTTTGGCATACCATGTAAGCACTTAAATCGAGTCAAAACTCTTTCCACATACTTACCTAGAAATCTATAAAATTACTTTGAAAAAGCTCATCCAAACCCCATAATTTAGGAGTAAATTTTTTTTTTCTATATGTACATATCGTTTCTTTAAATAAGGCGTTCTTCGTCAATGATGTTTTTATGAAGATCAATTTTTGATTTAATTATATAAGTAGGATACTTTAAAGTTTATGCAATAATTTTCGTGTCTTTTACGTAGTAAATGGTGCCTCCCAAGAATTAAACTAAAATGCAATCCAACAACATTTACTAATTGGCATTTTTAATACTCATCTTATGATGAAACCAATTTGCAACAGTCATTCAAAATCATCAAATTTTCAATATTTCATATCACAATCAATAATTAAAAATTTAAAAATAAAATGTCCATGCAGAATCAGAATCAGTTTTTCAATATTTAAGATGGTATTTCAACAATATGCCATAAAGGGCAAGATTGGAGTAAAGAACAAGATTAAAGCAAGTAGACATTACCAACAAAGAGTAAATTAGTGATGAAATTGAGTGACAAAATTTCTGTCACTAATCAAAAATAATGACAAAATTTAATTAGCAATGGAATTTTTTTGGTCGCTAATTTCACTGTCACTAATTATTTAGTGATAGAATTCAAAATTAATTGGTGACAGATTACTAACGGATTAGTGATGAAAATTGGTGATGGAAATTTTTTGTCAGTAATTCGTTACCAATTAGTGATAGATATCTGAAAAAAATTCTTTCACAAAATAATGACGGATTTGTAATGAAAATTCTGTCGCAAATTAGTGATGGAATTTTCGTCACTCATTGTTTGCTAAATTTTTTTGTTATGTAAATTTAAAATACCATGTGACAATCACCACCTCATCACCAACTGCCACCTTGCCACCTCCTCTCTCTCCCATTCCGCCATGTCATTTTCTCGTCCACGTCATCGCCACATATCCATTATTATGAGCTGCTACATCATCATTTGTCCATGTCATCGCCACGTCACAAATTAAGCAAATTTTGTGAAGGAGTGGTGATTTGAACCCAAGACATCTTGCATGCATTTTGAAGGCACTTTTGCCAATTGAGTTGTAAAACACCTACAAATTTTTATGCAAAAATAAATAAATATATAATATTTCTGATGACAAATACAAATGTATATAATAATATTACATAAGTCAATGTATTAATTATTTATTTCAATTTATTTTTTTGTATGTTATTAAAGTATAACTAATTATTAATATTTTTATTCTAATATTTAATAAAACAATAAGTATATTATATTTTTTTATTTATATAACATGTTTTTGAAAAATTATTACATATCACATTTTTATTTTAATAATAAATATTAAAAAATAATTGTTCTATTTTTATATTGTCATTTTTTTTGTAATGGATTAGTGATGAAAGAGCAACAAAAATGAGTGATAGAATTTCTCCGTCACTGATTCTGTCACAAAATATTTTGTGTTGGGAGTTAGTGATGGACTAGTCCCGAAAATTAGTAACGGAAGTAATAGAATTTAGTAATAGAATAAAGTTATATCACTAATCTATCGCTAATTTAGTAATAAAATTTTTTCGTCATTAAATTTTGTTGCTAATTTTAGCAACAAAATTTATTTCTAATTAGTGTTGGTGACAAGAATCGTTAGTGTGAACATGTCTTTATCTGAGCAAATGAAGTGATGAGGAGGCACGAAGTGAAAAGTTGGCGTTATTTAGAAATTTTTGAAGGCTTGTTTATGTTGATTACTATTTAACGCTGGGCGTAAAGAGCCTAAATAAATTTACCTTCATTTTTTTAAATTCAAAATAATCTTTCTACATTATATTTTAAGCTAATCACGGTAGAATACTCCTATGACGGTCCACGTTAGTTAGACTTGAAATCGATATAGATTGGCTAGTAACTTTTTAAATTAATTACAAAATTACAACTGCTTTTTTAAATTAGTTTTAAAGATAGATTAGCATACTAGTTACAATTTTTTGTAGTTGTGTTAGTGTTTTTCTTACTTATAATCTTAATATCAAAGCGTTCTATGTTACTTCAGCAATGCAGTGCTTGGTACCCGAACATTGGCGTGGGGTTTCTCCCCCCCCCCCCCCCCGCCCCCAAAAAAATCCTCAAAAAACCGACCCCCCGGGGGGGGGGGGGTTGCCTTTTTTTTTATTTTAAGGAAAGTGAAGTACCTATGTGGCTATACCGAAGAGATTAATAACTATGGCTATAGATTAATAAATATTTACATAAAAAAGACGATAAAAAGGGACATATTGCTTACTGTTATTGCTAATTTGGTATAGTTTTGGTCTTTGGCCATTAATTTACTTTATTGTAGTCATTTAGTTGATTTATTGTTTTTTTAAAAACAAATTAGAAGACCCGGATAAATAAGACGAGAAAAGAAATGACTATGAGTATATATGGCTTTTGCATGGATTAACTAAAAGGCCTTGCGCACTTTATAGGAAGTGTGCCAAATCCTCTACTAATATTTTTATTAAATTGAATTTAGTTTTTCCTTTGTTAACGTTTGCGATGGAAAAATTAGAAGTATAGTTTCTTATGCAAGGCCTTGTAGTTACGTTTATATCACTAGTCTCTAACTATACATTGTTTGCTTAGTTTATTAATATTGACTAATATCGAGAAATATGTTGACCAACATTATTAACAAAACAAATTATGACATTGAAAGTTTAAATGTCGACAAAATATTCTCAAATGCTATAACATTAAGTTTAATTTTCTAATGAGATAATGATTAGCACAAAAAAATTATCATTTGAGACTAATAATATTATGATTAAAAGACTGGAAAGATACAGTATATAATAAATGGATCAATGAAACTTCATGTAAAATTAGATGAGTAAAAATGTATGTTACTTTTTCTATATGATAGTTGGGTTCAAAGACGCAAATTCGAGCAATTCATGGTTACTCTCCATCAACTTCATATCTTGTTCAGTCAAAGTTACCCATCCTTCTATTCCTTTTCCATCACTCGTATCCATTAGAATAATAGAATTGTTTATCTTCAAAGAAGGAATACTCGCCCACTTGGGCTTTCCCCACCCAAAATCTGCTTCATAAAACTCAAAATGACACCAACTCGTGCACATATAGAAATCTATGTCCTCTTTGTATGCCAAATCTATATCCTTCAATCCCTCACTTAATATTGAGGAAGCATTATTTTATCTTCAAGTTTTGGAGCACGTTCCTTTGAAAATAGTTCAAGAGCTTTCCTTAAGTGAACCACCAATGTCTGTAAGTCCATATCTGTACTACCCTGCTCTCTTCCATCTCTGCTACGAAGTTACTCAAGCAATTTCCCAGAGAGGTCTCAGGCAAAGGTGGGTTTGTCCTTTTACGAATATTTATTACTTGGCCTACCTTGGAGGGTCTTTTGGTTATTCCTAGGTTCGTTCTTGATGCCATTGTAGCACATTTCCATATTAGTGCTAATATGGCCTCCACCCGAGTTGGTTGCTCCACCAGTTTGCTTGAAGATTTGGCCTTCAGTTTTGTAATCTCGGAGGATTCAAACACGAATCTACACCCAGTTCAATTTTCTCAGTTAGAAATGTTTTTTTTTTTTTGGTTTGCTTAGACATCCTGAACTTATCAATTGAGTAGAGAAAGATAAATAGTTGTGAAGGTAGTTTTTTTTTTAGTTATCTCTAATGAAACCTTTTTCGGAAATCCTATGCTCAAAAGTATGTACTTCTATCATTTTATCTTTAAATTATTACTCATTTGGATCCTAAATATAAAAGCTAGATAATTAATTTAGAAAATGAAAAAAATGACTAGGTTAGTTATTTATAATATATATGAGTTGGTTTTCTTAAAGTAGTTTCTTTTCAATTATTCGTATTGGAAACTACTTCATTGATGAAAAACCTCCTGGATTTATGCAATCAACAAGGAATTAAGTTTATTAAAAAATTATAAATTTTAAAAAATAAAGTGGAATGAAATTTTATATTTATGATAAAAACAAATTCATCTGTTAACTTTTACATTTAGGATTAGAGGGAGTAGTTAGTTGACATAAAGATCAAACCCAAATTTTACTTGACAAATACATTTGCACACATGTAAATTATACTCCTCCAGTCCTAAATATAAGACTCATGTTAAAGTGTAAATTACACTACAAAATGGGTCTTATATTTAAGACTGGAGGAGTATTTACTACATAGTTAATCTAATACTAAAGTTATATTTCTTGGCCATGTCAAAACCGAACAAATTATAATTCTCGGGGGTTCAAATTTTCTAATTCAAGATATGAACTTTTTCAACAAAACCTCAAGGGTAAGTTAAGAAAAAACTATAAAGAAAAGTTGCTTGTAGAGTACCTTCTTGTGATGCAATTGGAGGTTTTTAACTCTAAAGGTGGTAGATCATTTGAAAACTCCATGGAAGGGAAATGAGATTCCATAACGTACTTAGGAAGCATTGACTCAGCCATGCACCCAATAGCTGTACAGGACCATGCCTTAATGAACGAACCAATTGTTGAAGCATCAGCAATCCTGTGAGAAAAGGCAGGACACACCAACAGCCAAACCTCCACAATCAAACAGATGCACCTGAACTTTCATTAAAAACCCACTTCCTAAATGGGCATCATTGACGGGCACAAACTGGTGTACAATGTCAGGATCGGGTTGTTTAAGGATTTCGGAAAGGAAGCCATGGACACGGACACGAGTCTCGCAAAACTCGACACCTTTATCGTTACATTCAATTACTTTGTTATCTTTGACTCTACCTGCCAGTGGACAGAAGTGGGTTAGAGTCACTGATAACGATGTCTTTAGCCTCTCAATCCCATCGTTAGCAAACTTATTTTCAATATTGGGATAGAAAAACAGCATTCGAGTGTGAAATATAGGAGTAATCTGATCAATAAAAGAGAGTTTGTAAATTCCCAGGTTTTGGGGTGTTGGGGAAGATGGCTTTATGATTTGTTTGGACACCAACTCAACCTTCATCTCTTTAGTGGCTTGATGAAACTGGTTTTGAATTTGGCTAAGGGTCGAAATCTCAGGACTCTATGACTGGTTCAATATGAAAAAAATAATTTGTTTATATACAAAAACTAGCCAGCTACGGAAGGAAATATTACAGTTCAATGTAACTTTCCAAATAATTTAAGAGATAAGGTGCTTAAATATTTCGGAAGTATCCATAAAGGAGCATCCGACACCTAGAAAAAGTTTCTTTGACTTTTACATGTCCTAAAAATTTATTTTAATAGAATACCCTAGCTGTCATTAACTTTGATTGTTATATTATGTGGTTTGACTGTTGTTTTTAACGGTCAAATTTAATGGTGGATAATAGTTTAGGATAGAAATATTATGAAATAAAACTTTTAAGGATATACAACAACAACAACAAGCCTTATCCCACTAGGTGGGGTCGGCTACATGAATCACACGACGCCATCGTGCTCTGTCAACAACCCAATCCTTAGATATGTTATTGACTAGGAGGTCTCTTTCAATGACCTCATTCAACGTTCTTCTCGGTCTCGGTCTTCCCTGCCTCTTTTTATGGGACTTCATCTTGTTTGATCCACCCTCCTCACCGGGGCCTCCAAAGGCCTTCTCTGCACATGTCCAAATCATCTTAAGCGATTTTCAACCATTTTCTCTTGGATAGGTGCCACACTAACTCTTGTCCTGATCTTTTCATTTCGAATCCTATCTTTTCTTGTATGACCACACATCCATCTCAACATCCTCATTTCTGCTACTCCGACTTTGCAACATTCACTACCATACATCATAGCTGGTCTTATAGCAGTCCGATAAAACTTTTAAGGATATAAGAGCAAAAAAAAAAAACTTTCAAGTATTGGGTGCTTCTTCACAGATAGTGTTCATCTCATTATTTAATATATAAAACTACATTTACAATGCAGTGCACAGCTGGAAAACCTCTCGGAACATGTTGGCATTCGTTTAAAAAGACGAAACTGCGCATTGGATTTGACTACCTTACCTTGAATCAATAAGACATATCGATGAATTCTAATAAGAATCCTCCGAATCCACTCCAAAGTTGCCACACCCTTGCTTGTAACTAATATTCATCATCACATAGAAAATTATATTTCACATAAATGTTTCCATAATGAAAAACCGTGGCTGCCCAATCCTATTCCATACCATAACCATTGATTCCCCATCTTATTTACTAAGTTTTTATTCGAGTTGATGAATCTTTCATATTTATTATTTTGAAAGGAAATCTCAACAATAAATGCTTTTCTAACCTCTCATTTTTTTCAATTAAATTTCTATGAGTGATATTAAGTCACCGTGGATAATTGGTTATTCGTCAATTTTTTTTTTTCCGAGTGAGAATTGGTTCGTCAATTGATACACTGTGAGAGATACAAGGCGTCCCACCAGTTGCAAATGCCAATTCAAAAAGCTATCTTTATCATTTTTTTTGGAAAATAAAAAATTATTGGCCTTTGCATTTTTTTTATAAACGTCTTTTGCATATTTTTAGATTATATCATTACTGAAGTTAATTAGTCACCATCGATATTTAAAACATTGACCAAGATATCGTGAATACTGTTCCAATGTTTCGTTTCCTTCTATAATCAATTTTTTTTAAATTAATACAATGGAAAACATATTTTAGGGCGGGCAAAAGAAAGGAAAACGTATTTTGGGAATCCTTGTTTTTTTAAAAATATTATTCTGGGTTCGCCTTGGGCGATACTGAATCGCCTTGTGCACTGAGCGCTAACCAATGGACTCATGTACAAACTAGAATCAAGTGCTGGCAAATAATATAGGGAATTAAAATTATTACGAATTAAATTCATTAAAAATATATGGATAACCAACATTCCCAATCTACCCATCTTGTCCATCAACACAATTAGATAACAATTAAATTCAATTAAGTCTAAACAAATGCCGAAAGTCCAAAATTAAGTGTGTAAATATATAAAAATAATGAGAAATATTATTAAATCATCACCGTAGGTCCTAACAAAAGTTAAGTTTTCCTTAAACCAAAAATACTTTCTTGGAACAATATTTTTTTAAATAAACGAAAGATAACAATTAAATTCAATTAAGTCTAAACAAATGCCGAGAGTCCAAAATTAAGTGTGTAAATATATAAAAATAATGATAAATATTATTAAATCATCACTGTAGGTCCTAACAAAAGTTTTCCTTAAACCAAAAATACTTTCTTGAAACAATATTTTTTAATAAACGAAAATCATAATAAAGGTCATTTTAAAACAAGATTTGTTTTTGCAAAATAATGAAACTAAATAAAAACTCAGTCAACAATATAATACCCTAAACTACATGGACTTCGATTCCTATCACAGGGTAGACTGACCCACAATAATGCCTATAGCTTCTCCCAGTTCCTCTAGATCACCATGCGTAGTAGGACTCCAGCCATATCACAATTGAGAGATCCAAGATGCATGTACTTCCACAAGTAATTAAGCGATTTGCTTTTTGAGTGAAAAGGAAATTTTGTTCAAAATATGCATGAAAGCTACAAGCTAGCAGTAGATAAAAAACAAAGCAACATCAGATTAAAAAAGACGTATGGTTTCAAGCTCTTGGGCTTGAATGGTGTATAACCACTCATTGTTAGAATTTCGTTAACCACATGATGGGCACCAAGAGGAGTTCTTTTTGTTGTTCTTCAATTTTACTTGCCATACATCAAAAGGGCAGCAATGAAAATAGTGTTGATGTTCAGGAGGGATGATGAGATCCCAACAAGAAGAATCTAGCTTGCAGGCTCTGAGTACATGGCTTAGATCTTCCACTCTATCTTTGCATATTTCACATCTGTCACTAGGCGCCATATTGCGTTTCAATCTTACAGCATTTGTGACCAGCTTGTTGTTCAAAGCTAGCCATAGAAAAGTACTAACTTTTTGTGCTCCTGACCATTTCCAAGCAAGATCTGAGTTTGTGTCATTCCATTCTGCTTCCATGATAGAGCGGTAAACTGAGTCAACAGTGAATTCCTTCTTATCAGTCAAACTCCATTTTTGCTGTGCCCCCCGGGGGGCAGGTGGCTTTATATTAGCTATTTGGCTTAGTATGTCATAGGGTAGGTTGTCTTCATCAATGACAGAGCAGTGTATGGTTCTCCATAGCTCTTCATCACTTAGTAGCCTGAATGCCAAGTCCGAGATCCCCAATCCAATGGTCAGACCAAAATCTGACTCGCTGACCATCCCTTCGCCTCTATATGAGCCTTAGCTCCATGTCATTCCATCATGGGATAAGGCTCTTCCAAAGATTGTGTGTGCTAATTTCATAAAGAAAGCAGTATTTCGACCTCTGAGGTCCTTTATTCCACATCCCTTGCATTCTTTGGTCTGACATGTTACTCCTGCTCATGAGATGCACATTTTTGTGAATTTTATTGGAGCCTCAGTGATGAACTCTCTCGTAGGAGCTTATCAAATTTCCACGTGGTAGAAAAAAGGTAGTAAATCGGAGCAAGTTCTAGGTTGATCTCTTGAGGAGCTAAGGTTCCTTGGAAATGAGTAAGTAGAGTGTTTTAACAAGTTAAAATGAAGGCAAATTGTCTTATTCAAATCATATATTTGGAATTTCTCGAAGAGTAGGTAAGAGATGACTGAAAGCAAATTGACAAGAGTGAAAGTAATCAAGTTTGAAAGACTTCCTTTAGAGATTCACCTACCCTTCATTGCCTATCACAAATCGAATTTGTCTTAGTTTTAAGAATCAGATTATGCATGCCTTCAGAGTTTAAGAGAATGAAATGTACTTAGAACTCCTAGATGAATGCTAAACAGTATCCATTATGTATTAATCAACTTAGTCACAAAGTCTGTTTTGAATAAATCAAAAATCACAATTGAATCTACTCTAAAACAAAGAGCATTAGACACCTGGGTACATAGTAATCAAAAATCCTGATTTAAAATTTATAAAGAAGCACACAAACTCAGCTTAAGTGATTAAAAATCACAAGTTCTAAAAAGAAGCAAGTAAATCCTAATATGAAGAAGTAATTCGAGCAAACTTCCTTTTAAGCTTCATGACTTAGACTTCAGTTCATCTCTCAAGGAAGAAAAAAATCAACAAAAAAGAGTTGTTAAAATTAAATAATAATATATGATAATTTTTTAATAATATATAAATAAAAATAAAAATACAATATATCCATTTTATTAAATTTTTGAATAAAAATATTAATTAATAATAAATTTTTACTAAAATACCAAAATTAAATTGAAATATATAATAATATATTAAATTATATATATAAAAATAAATTTATATATTTGTTTTTTTTATCCAAAATATTATGTGTATATATATAATTTTGCATTGAAAGCTCATCAGTGCTTTTCAGCTCAACAAGCAAAGACGTGACCGGTTAAGGGTTTGAACCACCACTCCTTCACAAATTGAAACAATTTATGATGTGGTGACAATGCGGATGAGGTGATGACATGGGGTCTCACGATGACACAAAAGACATCAAAATTGATCAACACATCCAAAAACTTCAAGAGATCGAATCTCACAAAAATCTAGTCAGCAAAAAGTTAAATTTCAAAACAGGATATTCCAGCAAAATCAACCAAAAAGAGAAAATGTAAGCAACAAAGAGCAAAGAAAATGTAGAGAAAATAGGGGAGATTACCTAGAACTCAAAAAATCATTGCTCCCTAGCAATGGCACTAAAATTGATGATGCTTTTATTGTTAAAGCACTCAATTAAACTAGAACCAATTACAACTGCAATATAGTAACAATCTAGGTCATTCTTCCAAGGAGCAATTTTAGGGCTTTCTTTATGTATGAATCTAGATGATGAAAAATGGGCCTAAACTAAAATGCAAAACACTATTTCTAAATGCAATAAACATACGCAATATGCAAATGCCCAAAGATGTATATGAAAGTAAAACTAAACTAGATGAATGCAAATGTAATTTGGGGGATTC